ATATATACACACACACACACACACACACACACACATATATATATATATATATATATTGACATAGTGTCGAACAAAATAATATTTTACTTGACATGGTTTCAATCCACCGAAAAGTGAATTTCTCACTTTCCGTTGGCTCCAATTCCATCGGAAGATGGAGTTATAATATAATTCTACATTCCGGTGGAATTTTTTCAATCATCCGAAAAGTGGTGGCACCAATTCCATCAGAAGGTAGAATTATAAGAGTTTTTTGCACTTTTAGTCCCACGACTATAGTGGCACTGGCAGAATTGATCCACGACTTTTGAACCTTGCAATTTTAGTCCACGACTATTGAATTTTTTGCAAAATTGGTCCTTCCGGCCACTTTTCCGTCAAAATTTCACCGGAAAAAAATTCTCTATTTTTAGCCGGGTTAAAATTGACATTTTACTTATCTAAAAAAATTAAAAGAAAAAAATTGATATTTGACTACATACAATACTACTGGGCTACATACTACTGCCCCAGGCGGCGGAGTACATGTACCAATCCAATGTTGCTGCCGGATAACCCAACTAGCCAGGGGAACGCCACGGCTACTCCGCCGCTTACTGACAGCCCTGCCTGCTCCAGGAACTCCACCGCCTGGGGCAGTAGCATGTAGCCCAGTAATATTGTATGTAGTCAAATATCAATTTTTTTCTTTTAATTTTTTGAGATAAGTAAAATGTCAATTTTAACCCGACTAAAAATGGAGAATTTTTTTTCCGGTGAAATTTTGACGGAAAAGTGGCCGGAAGGACCATTTTTGCAAAAAAAAATCAATAGTTGTGGACTAAAATTGCAAGTTCAAAAGTCGTGGATCAATTCTGCCAGTTCCACTATAGTCGTGGGACTAAAAGTGCAAAAAACTCAGAATTATAATATAATTTTAACTTTTAGTGAAATTGCTTCAAACCCCCCAAAAGTGAATTTTCTACTTTTTGGTATTGTGACACTACTCCAATTCTACCAGATGTGGCTAAATCAAAAACTTCAATTACAAATGCATCATTCTCATTTTGATCTCTAGTAAATGAAATTTGGTCTTTTCAAACTAAAAATCGCACTTGTACCCCTCCTGAAAAGATTTCAAACACAGTTACTAAATGAATCATTCCATAAATTACACCAATGTAAAAATAATATACATATTCGCACCTTCTATCTTCAGCAACAAAAAAAATTTCCTCCCAAAATCGCAAGTTGTGAAAATTGAGACTTTTAATCCACAACGACAATACATCGCATGCTCATACTCCAAGTTGTTTTGTGCATCTGATGATGCAAAAGATGAAGACATTCTAAACCAAGATGACGAGCAGAACTAATAAGATTTTAAGAAGACGAAGTTAAAAAATGAAGTCGTAGATGGGTTTAAGAAGACGAAGGTAATAGGATTTGCTTGCTTTTAATTTATAGTCTTAACAAATTCCATGTCAACAACCTTTTTTTAATAAGTTTTCATATCACCTTAATATTGACTAGCAACCTAATGGAACATGAAAAAGTTAATAAATGCAAAAAATTTAAAAAATTTATGTGTCAATTAACTAACCTTTATTTTGAGTTTTTTTTCAAAATGGTCCCTCGACTATTGCTCATTCTCAATTTTGCATTTTGACTTTCAATTGCACCAAATGTGGTCCCTCAACTTCAAAAAACTCATCCAATTTAGTCCTCCGTTAGGTTTTTCGTCTACTCAGTGTTAAAATAGAGGGTATTTTTGTCCGTTTACCTCTTTTGTGAATAGTGGAGAGACCATTTTGGGACGAATAAGGGTTACACCAAACAACACTTGAGGTTAGTCTCTCATATCCTGATGGCCAGATGCATGTTCGGGTACATCTCAATCAACAACACGAACATGACATTTCATATGTTCACAATGTATGTAGGTCAGATGCCATGGTTGTAACTTGAGCAGACAATGAAGCAGCCATTATATTGCTGGGGTTCACACAAGTTCGGGAGTGTCTATTATTTGATCAAGCGCACTCACAGCAGCTTCAACAGGTCCATCCCTGATGATATATACCAGGCCATCAAGGAAGTGCAAGTTGGCCCCTATAACTTGTCGTGTAAGTTATGTTTTTCGGCTTTGTAGGTTGCGTCACATTGTAGGCCGATCAGTCAATCTACAGTTGACTGGCCGAGTGGCTTTCCGTCCGGGTGATTCCAAGGGTGATCCGAGAGCATATTCTTTCGTCACGAAGCTTATCGGTACGAGCGATACGCTTGATCACAAGTGGTTTAGTTCCGTCTGGTTGATGGCTACAATAGACCGGTTGGGTGATTTCTTGACGGATAGGCTATACGGATCAATCCTTTATGCGTATTTACCCATCAGACCATTTTTCCCTTACTCTTATTAATTTGTAGGAGCATATGGGTCTTTATATTCGTTATTTCTTACAATTTCAAATCTAACTAAACAATAGAATTAGTATTCCCAATAATTGTTTTTTTTCACATCAGAACCATCAAAATTAGGTTAATTCGGGTTTGATTTTTCAACATGGTTCAGACTAAAACAATCATCTTGCAAAGGCTTCTCAACATAATCTTTCTTATTCTCGAACTGCCCTTGACAGGGGCAGATAAATAAATATTCTCCAGTGGGGGCGATAAATTAAAACTAACGAGATATTTTTTAAAAAATAAAACAATTCAAGACCAAGTCATAAATATTGTTGACTAGAGATGAAAATCAAAATACATCAAGATAAAAATTATTTAAAACATAATTAATTAGATAAAATAGTTTTAATGGAAAATATATTATAAATCACTTATCTCACTATTAATATTTAAAATAATAATAAAAAGAGAAGAAGTCACAATGTTACAAATAAAAAAAATCAATTATAATTCTCACTATTAATAGTAAAAAAATGTCGAAAACAAAAGTTAACTCATCTCCCTATTAATATAAAAAAATGAAAAAAAAAACCACAATATTACAAATAAAAAATCCAATTAAAATTCTCACTATTGATATTTAAAAATTCAAAAATCAAACTAAATGCTTTAGGGTTCAAAACACAAACTTGTAGAACATATATTACATAGAAGTAATGGGTTTACCATCCAAGCCAAGCGCAACCAACCTTTAATTACATTTTGATATATTTAATATATATATTATATCTATGGGGTGGGTGTGTGGGGCCAGTTGCCCCCACGTAATGCACCCATTGTGGCTCCGCCATTGGCCCATGAGATGATGAGGCATGTGATATGATGTTTCACATTCTTGTGCCTGCTTTTCTCTCGCTTTCTTTTTATCTGGAAGTATTAGAAATCGTAAATATGTAGTGATATTTTAAGAAATTTTTTGCTAATACGTGAAAAGAATAAGCACCCAGGCCAACAATTTTACCAAGACAACCTTAATTAATAAAAAATGATTGTTAATAAATGTGTATTGGGGCAAATTATATTATGCACCGCGGTGCATAATGGATTATGCACCGCGCGTCTTTTTTTTTTAAATGAAAATAAACAGTGTTTGTTTCCGCCGTTTCGCACCTTTTTGCAAAAAGCAACTCTGTTATTCAGTGTCATTTTGTATACACTGCAGTTTCAGTTCAACACAACTACAGTTTCATTTCGATATAACTATAGTTTCATTCGATATTTATAGACTCAAATATGTGAAAATGTTATTTAATTTTATTTTATATACACTATAGTTTCATTAAAACACAACTACATGATCATTTTGATATAATTACAGCTTCATTGTACAATATACACTCAAATATGTGAAATGTTATTCAGTTTCATTTTATATACACTGCAGTTTCATTTCACTATAACTACAGTATCATTTTGATATAACTGCAGTGTCGGTTTAGATATACTGTAGTGTCAGTTGGTGTTTAATACACCAAACAAGCAGACTCCGTTAACTCTAACGGCGGGCCGTTTCTTTACTTAAATAAAACGACGTCGTTTTGACAGTGTCGATTTAAACACACTGTAGTATCTGCCGCGCGGTGCATAATCGATTATGCACCGCGGTGCATAATATAACGACCCGTGTATTGGCACGATTTGAAATACAGGAGTACATGCCTAATATGATTATATACCTACGTACTTATCTTACCACTTTAATTTGTCCCAAATATATAACCATTTTGGTTTAGAAGGCATTTAATATGGAATACCGACATAGGAACTTGGCAAGACGTCCCTTAATTTAATTGGAAGAGAAAATGCTTAATGCATTTGATCATATTAAAGCACCAGCTAGCATTATATTGAACTGTAGTTTGAAAGTAGACAACCAAAGACTTCAACAACTCCAATTAGACTAATACATACATCCTGTCTTCAAATTTAAACCTTCTAACGGCCATCACTATCTTATCCCTATATTGTCTCCAGCATCTTCCAATGGGCCACAAACTTGGACTTCCCAAATCCCACTCCCGGCGGCTTCCTCGTGGAAATAGTCCAACAATTGGCGCTCCCACAGCGAATCTGTAACAACCAAGCTGCGCAACTCCGAGCACACGCCGCATACTCCTCCTACAATATCTAGTACAGACACTTTCTCTATAATTTTCAGCTTCAGATCATCCAGGAGTTCCATGAAGTACGGCGATGGTGCAGGGATTTCACTCAGACCACTGTCTTTCTCATTCTCTCCTCCAACCCTTCTCCTCTTCTTTCTCCCATCATTTTTAGCCATTGATCGAAGATGCCCTTACAACTTTCTTCCAAAACCTAGCTAGGCAGGGCGTCCACGAATGAAGAAATCGACCGAGATCTGGTCTAGTTTAAGGAATTAAACAAACTTCATCCTAATTTTACTCTGCTAAAATGAATAGCTAGATTTCACAATCGCGTCCTCATTCTACCAATAATGAATTCTTCGAAAAATCAGTATATATCATTCCCCAATCGTTATACCCTACACCACGGCGCACATAGCACTGTGCGCCACGCCTCCCAAAACGACGTCATTTTGGGGTCGTTTTAGGATGCGCGGTAGGAAGTTACTGGGATTATGTATATTTGTTCACAAAGTTATGTGTATTTGTTCACAAAGTTATGTGTATTGGTTCATATAGTTATGTATATTTTTTATACAATTATGTATATTCTTTTTATATAATTATGTACATCCGAATCAGAAAATTTGTGTGTATTATGTTAAGAGTTGATGTGTATTATGTTAAAAGTTTATGTTTATTATGTATTATGTTAGATTATGTGTATTATCTTTTAAAAAGAGTATGTATATTTTGTTATATAATTATGTACATTCATGTATACAATTATGTGTATTCTAGTATAACATTATGTACATTCTTGAACAGCGAGTTTTTTTTTAAAGAAAAAACTACTACCATTCACTGGGGCGGGAAATTTTAAAAAAAAAATAAAATTAAAACGACGTCGTTTTGCATCTGGGCGCATAGTGCAACGTGCGCCGTAGTGTAGGATATAAATTGCCATCATTCCCGCGATTGCTTTATTTGCTTCCCATATCTGAATTGAATTTTTGATTTTTTTTAAAATCTTATGTCATGGAAAACGTCTCTGGATTTTTAGTCCGAAAATATTTTCAAATTATTTATTTTCAAGGTTTATCTTCTCTATCATTTTTTAATGTCAATCGGGCCCGAACTCGATGGGCTAGACCGATAAACTGAATCTAATAGGGCTATGGCCCGAACGGGCTAAACCGATAAACTGAATATGATAGGGCTATGGCCCGAACGGGCTAGCCCAATAAAAAATATTAGCCCAATGAGCCAGAAACTGATAAGTCCAATGGCCCGATAGCGCTAACCCGATAACCTGAACTATTGAAAAATATTCTTTATTATAGAAGTAATGTGAAACATAACATACATGGAATTTATAGGTGAGTTCAACTTTAATAATTTTTTTTATTACATTTTTAAATAAAATTTTGATAAGTATATTACAATATAAATTATTTTATAGTGTAACTGTGTAAGTATATAAGTATATAACTTACTGTAAATATTATATTATAGTGTAACTGTGTAAGTATATAAATTATTTTTAGTTAGAATTTAGAAATGTCGATTTAGATTAATTGAATTATGTATAAATTTATATTTATTAGTGTATATGTCCTAGTTTGAAATATAATTATAATTTATTCAACACTGATATATTTTATATGTAATATTTTAATTTTAATTTTATAATTATAATATTATTAAGTTATGAAGTTTATAAAATGTATAGTTTATAACTTTACTTAATTTTTGTAATAAATAGTATTTAAATTAGTTAAATATATAATAATATTAATATTAATATAAAATTACAATTAAACGTATTAATTAATACTTATAAAAATAATTACTCCGTAATAATCATAATAGGACTAAGTTATATATATATATATATATATATATATATATATATATATATATATATATATATATATATATATATGATTGGTTTTTAGTGATAATGGGATGTGGAATGATGGAGGAAGGTGTAATCGGGAATTAGAAACTCCCGAGTGTCGAACTCAAGGATGTCAAGTCGGAGCAAGTAAAATGCAAGACAATTAGGTATCACAACGTGTCAATAAGATATGCTAGGTGCAAGATGAAGATAGCAAGGAAACAAGGTTGTAAGCATAAGGAAGATAAAGAAATAAAAGAAAACATACAAGTAAGTATGTAAAGTAGATAGGGTTGAATGATGTAGTGTAGATTATGATGCACTTAAATCATTTAACATAGGTAAGGAGGATGTATATGCTAAGTCTAGGGAATGGCTTATGTCCTTTCATAACATAGACTACTAGGACTTGCCTAGACCTTTCCTCGAACACCTTACCTACATTACCTTCCCAACCAAATTCCGTAGGATTCCTTGAGCTAGGAAATGTCAAGGATGGGAGCTTGAATTGACCTAGCAAAGTTCATTCACTCAACACAATCCTAGGAGTTGGCCTAGCTCCTTGGATGCATACAAAACAATCCAAAATAACAAGACAAAGAAGCATAGCAATCAATCAATCCCTAATTCAAGAACTAAGTCCCATTGGCATCATAATCTCACACATCCACAATTCAAACCAGAGCAATCTAAGCACTCATCATCATTACAAAGATAGCAAACACAAGATTAAATTTGAAATAATAAACAAGGAAGAGATGTTACCCAAATCTTCAATCTATTGTGCAAGCATCCAAGAGAAATTGTAGAACAATGAGTGTGGATCTTCAAGGAAATGTAAATCTAGCCTAACCCTAATCTACCCTAACCTAAGAGAGCTGAATTGAAAGGTGAGGAAACGGAGAAAATATTTCTCTCAAAACAATCCCCTTACAAGCCTTTTTATAACCCTAGAATCTGAAAGTTCATTTAATTGTCCCGTCAACGCAGCTGCAACGCACGTTGCGAGCTGCGTTGAACTTTTTGGAATTTTCGCCCAAAATGAAAGTTGTATCCCTTGAAGAGCCTGAACCATAGCCACTTGAATCACCTCATTTGGACACTCCTAGCTCAAGATATGATAATTTTTTAGAACTGTCGCCGGAATACCCTGAAAATGACAATGTTTTGCTATTTTTCTACAAATGCAATAGAATTAGTCATTAATCCTAATTTCTATCAAATTTAGCTAATTAAGCATGAATTAGGCATAAAGAACTCCAATTATAGCACAATTTACCTATTAAACACCCTACAAAACATAGCATATTTGGCGCTTATATATATATATATATATATATATATATATATATATATATATATATATATATATATATATATATATATAGGGGAACCTTCAAGTAGGAACCTTTGGTTAGGTAAGAACGTAAGAACCAATCCAAGCCCCACGTATTCACCCAATCAACGGTCACTACTGGAAATTATGAAATTTCCGACCATCTGAAAGTGATCTTAAATCAAGTCAAAAGCCTTGTTCCGACCACTTTTGGTATCCGGAAAAACCTTTATTGCTATTTCCGACCACTTTTTGGTATCAACTTGATTTAAGATAACTTTTAGGTGGTCGGAAATTCCATAATTTCCAGTAGTGGGTGTAGATAAAGTAAACATTTAGATTTAGATCTTTACTATATTTAATTAAAAATGATACTAGTGTAATTTCGTACGAGAACCAATTATATAATAATATTTTATTTGAAATCAATCCAAGAATCTAGGAAGATTATATTAACAAGGAATCCAATTTTACTCCAAAGTCGCCGTCTGCCAACACTGCGCAGGAGTACACCCGCCACCGCCGATTTCGAATGCTGGCCGTCCGCCGATTTCGAACTAGGTACGTTGTACCCTGCCATTAGATGAGTTTGTCATCATCAAACAGATGTGCGCCAACTACTATGAGTCCAAGTCTGCGTCTGCCAACCTTCACCATAGATTTTGCAGTTACAATGAATTCAAATTAACTTCCCTATAGAAAGACTCTGGCCTGCACAGTGTGTGCAAGGTGCACCGACTTCTCACCCCGATGGCACACAGGTAATCACGTGGTGGATTACGTTGTGCACTTGGGTTAACTAGTGTGTGTCATAATGCTTTAAAAACTGATATAGAAAATAACGTGCAATTACGATATCCCACACGTTGTATTTCACAAGGCGCACATAAAAAGCGAGTAACAATTAATACACAATACAAAACCAGATAAAATACCCAATGATACAATGAACGGAATGTGTGCATGTAGACGTAAATAATGAGTGTGTGGATGAAAAGACGTAAAACAAGTTGGTGTGCACTTGAGTTGAACTGTGTGCAATTGGGTTGGTAGATTAGGGTATGCACTTGGGTTGACTGTTTGCACTTAGGTTACACTGTGTGTGCCATAATTTGCAGAATTAGTTTGTGTAGGAAAAGATGTTAAACATTTTGGTGTGCACTTGGATTGAGATGTACTTGCAATTAGATAGAAATGTGTGTACACTTGGATTACCGAGTTTGTGCCATGATGCTCAAGAAAACTGATATACAAAATACCGTGTGCACTTAGGTTAATGAATGTGTGCATGCACCAAAACCATATTGATGTTAAAGATTATGTTGTGCACTAGAGTTAAACTGTGTGTGCCTTAACGTCAATAATGAGTATGTGGATGAAAAGACGCAAAAAAAGTTGTTGTGCACTTGGGTTGACAGATTATGTTGTGTAGTTGGGATGACTGTGTGCACTTAGGTTACATTGTGTGTGCCAAAATTTACAGAATTAGTTTGTGTATGAAAATATGTTAAACATTTTGGTGTGCACTTGGATTGTGATGTGTGTGCATTTAGATACAACTGTTTGTGCACTTAGATACAATTGTGTGTGCACTTAGATAACGAGTTTGTGCCATGATGCTCAAGAAAACTGATATACAAAATATCATGTGCACTTAGGTTAGCAACTGTGTGTAATGACCAGTATACGACTGTGCATGCCCCAATACCTCTAAATCCTTGATCTCTAGCTACTGAAACAATTCTTCCAGGAATATTTTTGTCTCTATACAATCAACCACTCCTAGACATAATTGACACACAAAAGCTCACTAATCAAAACAAGAATGGAAAAGCTGATACATAGAGGGTCAAAGGCAGAGTGAATTTATCATCTTAGTGTAGAAACAACTAAAGCAAAACCCATTAAAGAGATAATCAATACAAAACTACAACAAAATCCTTTCAGAACAATAAACATAGAAACAAAAAACAACAAAATTAACAAAGCAAATCTTTCAAAACAAAAAACACCATCCTTTCCATCTATACTTCAAAAACATGCACACTAACCACTATCATCGTGCACGCGGTAGCACCAGTCGGTATGTGTACGTGTCTCCCCTCTCACTACGGGGTGGATTCGCCAACCCCATGCACACGATTCTACATACTCAGAGAGAAGTAAGAACCCCTCCTTAGGTAGGAACCTAAGAACTAATCTCATCCATTAAATTTCCAATGATCAATGGTCAAGATAATCTATCAATTTAATGTGCATCTAAATCATAATTAATTCTAAAGGATATTAGTGTAATTTTGACCATCAACCAATTAAATGGAAATATTATATTTAGATTCTTTCCATGATTTTAGGAAGACAAAATAAGGAAAGATTCCTTTGGAGTTGTGACTCTACACGCAAACTGTGCTCCTGGGATGTTAAACCATTTTGGTGTGCACTTGGATTGTGCTGTGTGTGTACTTGGGTCAACGAGTTTGTGTCATGACGCTCAAGAAAATTGATATATGAAATACCGTGTGCACTTAAGTGAAGGAATGTGTGCATGCACTAAAACCAGATTGGTGTTAAAAACTATATTGTGCACTTGGGTTAAACTGTGTGTGTCATAACGTAAACAATGAGTATGTGGATGAAAAGACATACAACAAGTTAGTGTGCACTTGGGTTTACTGTGTGCGCTATAATTTGCAAAATAAGCTTGTGTAGGAAAAAATATTAAACATTTTGGTGTGAACTTGGATTGTTCTGAGTGTGCACTTGGGTCAACGAGTTTGTGTCATGATGATCAAGAAAACTGATATACAAAATACCGTGTGCATTTAAGTTAACGAATGTGTGCATGCACCAAAACCAGATTGGTATTAAAGACTATGTTGTGCATTTGGGTTAAACTGTGTGCCCCATAACATAACGTAAATAATGAGTATGTGTATAAAAAGACGTAAAACAAGTTGGTGTACACTTGAGTTGAACTGTGTGCAGTGTGACACCCCGAAAATCTATCCTTTAAATAGAATTAATTATTTAATTAAAATCTATCCTTGTGGTCACTTCATCATGCCTAGGAGGTCAAACATTCTTAAAAAGGTGGAATGGGTGGATACCCACTACTCCGTATTGGAAGGTAAAGCCCTAGAAACCGAGTACTTCTCTCGTGAAATTTCGGATTTACTCAACTATCAAGGCTTGTTGGATTTATTTCTGAAAATTAAGTGTGAGACCTATCCCGACTTGGTTAAGGAATTTTATCATCATATGAATGTGAACAAGGAAGGGAACAAGATAGAAATCACCTCAAAGGTGAGGGGCACAAAAATTGTCTTGAATGAAAACCGGCTAGCTAAACTCCTTAAGTTGACTCCAACAGGAGCATCGGAGTATAAAAGAGATGGGTGGATTGGAACGGAGGAGTTGAGTCAGAAAGAGTACTTGGGGTATTTGTTGGGAAGAACTGATGGTTTCACCCAAACCACTAGACCGGAAAAGAAGTGGCTCACGACCGAGCAAAGAATTTTGGTGATGATTGTGACCGATAGCTTGTTGCTTAACAACAACAAGAGAAAGGACATAGGAAGTTTGGAATGCACTTTTGCGTACTTTCTGAAGCATAAAGTGAAACTTAATCTGTCGGCTTTGATGCTCAAGCACATGGATTACTGTGTTGGTCACAACCGTAAGAGTTTGCCTTACGGTATGATTTTGAGTTGGATTCTGGAAAATAAGGGAGTTGACGTGAGCCAAACAGTGGCTAAACCTGTGGGCAAGATGATCTTCGATGCTCAGAATCTCCGTAGTTGTGGCCTGTACCAAATTAAGGATAATGAATATATCACTCTGGAGGAGGTAGCAAGGAAGCCTTTGGCCGAAAGGAGGTTGTTGATAGAGCAGTTGGCCATCCCCATCAAAAAGTTGAAGCAAGTAGTTCAGGAGTTGGGTGAAGACGAGGAAGAGGAGGGTGATAGTGACCCCGGTAGCAAGGAAAGTGCTCGAAGGAAAGAGATAAGGAGCAAGGAGGAGCAGGAGTCCCTGACCACCCAGGAGTGCATGTTGGTTCAATTGTGAAGGTAGAATCAACTCATTGAGGAGAGCTTTTCATCTTTGAATACCAAGGTTGCCACTCTGGATTGAAGATTGGCGGTTGTGGAAGCCAAGTTGGACAGAGGCAGTTCCCTGAGAGCTTCTGGCTAGGAAGATGAGGCTTCAGAGGACTCGGCTGACTCCTCCCCCCAAGCTGGAGAGTGAGGTAACTCCGTTTCTAACTCTTATCTGTTTTGCCTGTTGGTGACTATAGTCTTAAGTTTGTTGTAACCTTATGTGTAATCTAGCTCAGTTAGTTGTGTTTCTAGTTTTGTTTTGGCCTAGAACTAGTTGTAAGTAGGTTGATTAGTCTTAGTTTGGTTGTTTTAAGTATTAATTAGTTTTGGTGGAAACCTTATTGCTTCAAGCCTTGTTTGAAACTTACCTTTGGTTGTTGTCACATGTTTTGCAAATCAATCGTTGTTTCCTTTTGAACCTCGTTGTATCCAAGCTTCGGGGACGAAACTTCTTGTTAGGGGGAGAGAGTGTGTCACCCCGAAAATCTATCCTTTAAATAGAATTAATTATTTAATTAATTCTAAACTTGCTTGGCAAAATCCCATCCTAATTTCTTAATTAAATAGCCGGAGGACTTAAATTGACCAATTTTCTTGGTCAATTGAATTAGTCAAAGAGAAAAACATTGAGCTTTATGCCTTGTACCTAACCTTTTGATGTCTTCCTAACCTTTTTGAGAATAAGGGAGGTCATTATAGTCTTTTCAACCTTACTTGGTATCCAAGCCCTACCCTGACAACACTACCTTGCATTTCCCACATTTGGCAAGAAACACATAACTCTCTACCTTCTCTATATAGGCTTAGCTTCTTCTCCAAGCTAAACCAAAATCTCCCCCGAACCTTGCAAGAAATCCTTCAAGATTCCAATTTTCATCCACCAAGACTCTAGGAGGGGTAAGACTTGAGCTTAGATAGTGTTTTTAGTTGGATTCTCCTTATCTTTATCTAAGTTTTGGTTGTTTGTGTGGTTTTTGGTTTGTGTTGGGAAGACCTTGTAGAGGAAGAGCTCCAAGATGAGGACTAGGGGTTGAAGAAGGTGTATTTAGGCTACAAGAGGTAACCCATGCTCTACAAACCTATTTTATACTTGCTATGATGATTCTTGATGTTCTATTGTTGTTCTTGATGTTCATGAGTGAAATGATGCATATTCTTGTGTTTATGCATGTTTAGAGCTTGTATCTAGGGTTCTTAAATGTTATTCTTTGAACTATTCTTGTGGTTCAAGTTCCTTTGATGATTGATGTGAGATTTTGGGTGTTTTGGACTTGAACTTGGCAATGTTGATGTTTTTTCCCGAAGGGAATTATTTGGTGTTAGGAATATATTGTAATAGATTTTGATATGCCAAATTGTATTTTAGAATCCACAATTTTATTTGTTAAGTCTAGGCGTGTCATAGACCATGAAAGGAAAACTAACGAATATAGAAAAAGGGAAAATACGAAGAAAAAGAAGAAGGAGATGTATGCATATGATATGTATACTTAAACAAGCCCACATGCCCCAACTCACAGAAGAAGTCATACTGATAATCTCATACGAAGAAACGAGAAGCAAACGAAATTTCATGAAGTCATCTTAGATATCAAACATCTATGGAAAGAAAGAAGTACATCAAGGAGAATGCTATAATGACTAATAATTCGTACAGACGAGACGGATGAAAGCTTGATCAATGAAGTAGGAGCTACGGTTTCGAAAATCAATTATATAATAGAACCTAAGAAAGAGAAGTAAGAGATGCGGGTTTCAAAAATCAAGTGGAGTAGGAGGATTACATCACCTCCGAACCACTATAAATTACTCGCTTATCATTGCCTTGTGTCATTTACTGATTCTTACTCGCTTATCACATGGATATACTTGACACAATCACACAACGCTTATTTATTTATTCCGTTGTGCACAAGACTCTAACAATCTAGTTAAGAGTTTTGGTTTCTCTGTTGCCTTTTGCAATTGTTGTATTTGCGAAAACGGTTTAAAAGTCTATTCACCCCCCCCCCCCCTCTCTAGACTTTTACGACACCCCCTTTGGGACCAACATTTGGTCTCGGGTATGTACCCGCGGGGGGTTGCCCACCTGTCGTTCCACCCGCAGGGAACGTGGTTGGTTGTGACCGGGGGGGGGGGGGGGGGGGACGGCGAGTAGTTGTCCGCCCGTGGTTCCACCCGCTGGTACCATGAAGGGGGAGTGACGGGAGGTTGTCCACCCACCGTTCTGCCCACTGGTACGTGATGTTTTGGCATCCGTTTTGTTGAATCGTTGTGCAATTGTGTGTCTCATTTGATGTTTCGTACGTCTAGAATGGTGTCCTAAGTATCCATGATAGGATTATGAGTCTTGAATCATGGTTAAAGGTCCAACTTTGTGATTCGTTGGATTAATGTGAAGTTTTGATGTTCGTTTGAACCGTTATGTTCATCCTATTGATTTGCATGCTTGTTACGATGTTGTTGATACTAGTATGTGCGTGTTCATTCGTTCTCAATGATGATTAGTAGCTTGTATTCACCAATCAATGTAATATTTGTATTGAAGCCTAATTTTATGGTGCTATTGCTTTGATTGTTCGTTTCATGTCTTTCATTGAAACCTTACGATTGAATCCCTCGTTGTTATCTAGTACATATGTTGTACTCTATTGATTGATCTTGATTGGGCTATTGATGAGCTTCAATCCTCTATGTCAATGACTATGTGATTGTTATGAGATTGGCGATAATGCGCTGCGGTGCAAATGATTGTCGGTATACTATCACGTGATTAGTACTATATTATTATGACATTGCGATGTCTATGAGATCGGCGGCAAGCTGGCGGAAGCAGGCGGGGAGCAATGGCTCCAGGAGGGATAAGGTTAGACTTGGTGTACATGGTGGCACTTGGAGGTACAGGTTGGAACTGAAATAAGGTTGGAATGGTGATACAAGGTTGGAACCGGGCATAAGGTTGAAACTTGTCATTGATTGTGATCCTTGACTTTCATTTTCTATGAACATGTATTGATGTTATCCTCATGTTATGATGTGGCCTTGATTGATATTGATTATCATGTGTTGTTGATGATTCCCTTGTTCTTATCGTTGTATTGTTCTCTTGATTTATCATATGATGGTCAGTTGATTGAGAGTGTTCCACGATGAGTCTTATGATGTTTCTATTCCTCATTTTAAAAGATTATATACTATGTATTCCATGTCTCAAAAGTGATTTTCCTATAACTATATTATAAGTACTCAACGAGTAGTGGTGTGTTACTTAGCATTATTCGCTAATGGGTGCTACCCCTTATGTTTTACAGGTTCAGAGTAGATCGTTGTGAGCGCGCTAGAAGATGGATTAGTTTAGCGTAGCTCCCTTTTGTCTCGTAGCTAGTTATGGAGGCATGTGTGCCTATAGACTTGAACTTGTGAATTTGATACTATGTTTTGGATGGTTAAGTACTTGTTCATAGCCTGTGCATCTGGCTTTTAGTTAGATGTGGTGTGACATTCCCGATTTGACTGTTAGCTTCCGCGACTCCTTATGTTAATGATTAGATTTATCTTTACTTCTAAGCTTTAATTGTTTTAGAATATTGCTTAAAATCGGGGGTATTATAGTGCACTTGGGTTGATATATAGATTAGGGTGTATACTTGGGTTGACTGTGTGCACTTAGGTTACATTGTATGTGTCATAATTTGCAGAATTAGCTTGTGTAGGAAAACATGTTAAACATTTTTGGTGTGAAACATATCTGACCCCACGACCACTTTCGTCCAATTTATCTCCTAATTTTGCAATCGTGCTTCTACTTCCAGGAAGTCTGGTTCTGGCCCTTCTTCCCTACAATAAAGGCCATTGAATCTCCATATTATCGGCCACTTGAACCATGCATTGAGTGCAGCTGAAGTTCAAGTCCATGGTAATTTCCCTTGATCATCAGACTATTGAACACTCAATCCACTATATGGATTCTTCCAATAGGTTTACATTCAGAAGATCTTGCCGAGGATTGCATTAATTGGAACTTTGCAGTTAACAATTATTGGTCATTGCTCTCGCCCCTAATTTTCTCTGATCATCCGAAGAAACCTGGTGATGAGGATCCTTCCCCGCCCTACAGCATACTTAGGAATGTCTTAGACATGAACGCCCATTTTGGTGGTTTCAACAGCGAAGGTGGAGAGCAAAAATCCAAAAAGCTGACGTTTGAGGGTGCGATAGACTCCATGCTTTAGAAAACAACTTATGAAGGACATGAATCGGCGATAATCACCCACCCACCCCCACGTTTGGAACTGAAATGCCTAAACTACCCCTCTTAACCAAAAATAAAACACAATCGACGAAAATAAACCCATTAAAACTGTGATAAATATGGACCATTAATTAATTAAGATAAAAGGCTAAGATTAGTTCATAGGTTCTTACCAAAAGATGGGTTCCTATATGATTGTTAATATATATATATATATATATATATATATATATATATATATATATATATGGTTGCATTCAAATACAAACCCCCCTAAAATACAAATTCTCCTTAAAATACAAATTTGAGCTCGTGCACACATTAACATACTTACATGCACACTAGGCACACTTCCAACAATATCTAGGATTAGCTCGTGCACATACGAACATACTTACATGCACACAGTTTGTATTTTAAGGGGAGTTTGTATTTTAAGGGGGGTTTGTATTTTAAAATAATCCTATATATATAGTTGGTGTGTCCAGGTGCGATTATGCTGTGAGAGGAAAGCCATAGGTCAAATGTAACGTGCATGGTTTTTGTGATTAAGGTGTGTGAGTTTAGGTATGTGGAGTTTGTGCTTAAGGTACGTGAGTCTTGTGTGCTTAAGGTGCGTGTGTTGTGTACTTAATGTGAGTAGTTGTTGAAACTTAAGGTGCATGGGATTTGTGCTTAAGGTGAGTGAATCCGGTGCACACCCCCTAGTCAGCCAAGCCCGTGATCATACTCCTTGATCGTTGATTTTAATTTTTTGACGATTCAGATTGAAATATACACTGTATTTTTCTTCCCATATATCATTTCGGCAGTAAAAAAAAAAAAAAAAAAAAAAAAAAAAAAAAAAAAAAAGAGCGAAGTATGATGCATACATTTTCACATATTTATACCTCTGTACAAGATAATGTCCTCATAAAGTCATATGGTGTCCCCTGTTTGTTCAGTTTTAAATTGGCATGGCAGAAGTTACAGATTCAGAACCTTAAATGATGTTATATTAAGGGTGAAACATAGATATGCATTCGAGTTCTAAAAAACTTGATTTGTTGTAATGGATGGGAGGACAAATTACTGTATTCAACTCTAAACTCTAAATAATAAGATCAACTATATATATATATATATATATATATATATATATATATATATATATATATATATATAGAATAAGGCTCAGGTACGGTCAGTACTATACATGCGGCAGTATGGTTGAATCTGGGGCGTCTATTGTGCTTAATCCAACGGCAGGTAACATATCAGCTGATTAAGAAAGCTTCTTTTCGCGTTTGGTAAGTGGGGGTTTTCTTGTAATTTCGATGGCTGGTGACGTGCAGGTATATAAGCTGGGTTTCTAATTTTCACCGCTGGACGAAGATAAAGATCACCGGGAGATCACAATTGCAGTGCGGGGATTGCGATCGCGACTTGAGAATATCGCCGAAGATCAGAATCGCAGCGTGGAATTGCGATCGCAATAGGAAAATATCGCCGGAGATCAGAACTGCAGTTGGGAATTGCGATCGCAATTGGAGAACATCGCCGAAGAGCATAATCGCAATTGGTGAATATCAATTTTGAGCGATGGAGCCTGGTATGTTTTTCTTTTTTTCTAGGTTTTTAGTTTTAATTTGTTATTATTATTATTATTATTATTATTATTATTATTATTATTATTATTATTATTATTATTAGTATTATTATTATTATTCTTATTATGTGTTTGTTCTGCTTCGGATTGTGTATATCGCGTTTTTTCCTGTTTTGGCTGTGTCCCCGGTGTTGACTATGGTATTGTGTGGTGTGTTTGTGATTATGCTTCGGTATTTGCATTATTGTGGTGAATATTTTGTTGTCAGTGTGATGTGTAGTTTTCAGATTTTATGCGTATGTATGTTGCATTTAGGTAGTGTATTCGTGTGTTATCAGATTAAATTTGGTGTGTTATTAGGTATGTTGTCGTGTGAAGCTGTCAATTCGGACTCTGTTGGTGGTGTTTGCGATAAAGTTAATTCAACTGATATTGGTGGTTGTGATGAACTTAATTTGGACTCTGTTGGTGTAGAAGGTAATGGTGGTTGCGATGAAGTTAAGTCCTCTGATGTTTGTGTAGAAGGCAGTGATGTGGGTTGTGATGAAGTTAAGTCCTCTGATGCTTGTGTAGAAGGCAGTGATGGGGGTTGCAATGAAGGCAATTCTATCGAAGTTGGTGTTGAAGGCAATGGTGGTTGTTCCAATGAAGACTGTCCCAGTGATGTTGGGGTAGGAGGCAGTGTATGTGATTTGGAAATTTCTCCTGGGTTGACCAAGTATTGGCGCCCAGTTTGTCCTGACAGTTTGAAGCCTCACGTGGGGCAAAAATTTGATTCTTTGGATGGTGCCATTGCTTTTTATAAACAATATGCTGGCGCTGTTGGTTTTGACTGTAGGAAGGGCTCAACTCGGAGGAGGAGGGATGGTGTTGTTGTGGAGAAACATGTGTTATGCTGTCGTGAGGGGTTTAAGCACATTATTTCAGTTGATGCTAAAACTAATAAGGTCACGAGACGGAGGGTGACAAATAGGGTTGGGTGTAAGGCTAAGGTGGTCTATAAGCTCAAGTCTAATGGTTTGTATAGTGTGCATTATCTGGAGGAACGCCACACGCATTTGATGTGTTCAATTATTGCTAAGCAATTTTTAAAGGTGAATCGCAGTCTTGATGCTGGACACCAAATGTTCATTGCGAGTTGTTTTCGGGCAAATATTGGGTCTGTTCGATCATATAGGTTGTTTAAGGAGATTGTAGGTGATTATTCTAGTGTTGGTGCTACAGGTGTGGATTTTAAGAATTTCAAACGTGATTTGATGGCGTACATATTAAATGGCGATGCTCAATTGTTCATAGATACGCTTTTCAAGAGGCGTGAAGTGTGCGAGGCTTTTGATTTTGAATATGATGTTGACGACGGTGATCAACTTTCTAGGGTTTTTTGGGCTGATGCAGTGTCTAGGAAGAACTTTGCTTTGTTTGGTGATGTGGTTTCATTCGATGCCACATATCGTACTAACAGGTTAGTAATTTGTGTTTATTGTGCATTTTGTAAATAATTATGGTGCATATGGTTAGGTTTTATAGTGTGTTTTGTTAGGATGCTGGTGATAAGTATTTGGTGTGTTGTCCGTTATGTAGGTATAACTTGGTTTTTGTTCCATTTACTAGAATTGATAACCATAAGAGATCCATCACCTTTGGTACTGGTTTGCTTACAAGGGAAGATGTAGATTCATATGTGTGGCTTTTGGAGAAATTTAAGAAAACCATGCGTCATGACCCTATTTGTGTTGTCACTGATCAAGATCCAGCTGTTAAGCTTGCTGTTGCTCGTGTGTTTGGAACATCAAAACATAGATTTTGCATGTGGCATATAATGTGCAAGGTTGGTGAGAAGGTTGGACCGGTTTTGTCTAAAGATGAGGTGTTTCGGAGGAAGTTGAATTGCATTGTTTGGAACAAATCTCTTGACGCCAAGGCTTTTGAGGATGCATGGAGTCATATTATGGAGGAATATGGTTTGGGTGATAATGGTTGGTTTCGTTATTTGTTTGAGTCTCGTACATTTTGGGCATCTCCATATTTTCACGACGAGTTTATGTCGGGCTTGGTTAGGACAACTTCACGATCAGAATCTCAAAATAGTTTCTTTGGCAGTTTCTCTAATGGACATTCTAGTTTGGTTGAGTTCTTGGTGCATTTTGGCAGTGCTATTGGTGCACAACGTCACACTCAAGCAAAAATGAATGCTGATTGTGAATCTTGTTTTCCTGTTTTGAAGACACCACTGGCATTGGAAAAGCATGCAATGGATGTTTACACCATTTCTGTATTTTATGATGTGCAAGTAGAGATTTGTGCAGCTTGCTTTTCGTGTCGAGTGGCTTCTTTGTGCAACTGTGATGGTCATGTGTCTTATGTGATAAATGATGGAGACCAGCGGCCATGGTGTGTGGAGCTTGTTTTGTCTGATTATACTGCTACTTGTTCTTGCAAGATGTTTGAGCGGATGGGGTTGTTGTGTAGGCATATTTTTTTGGTTTTTAAAGATTGTGGCCTTGAGAGCATTCCTTCGAGGTATTTGGTGGACCGGTGGACAAAAGGTGCTTGTTTGAAGCCAATATTTGATATTGATGATACAGTTGTTGATCAATCTTCTAAAGTGGAGAATGTTAGGGTGCTTACTAATATACTGTGGTCTGACATATATGCTTGTGTAGGATTGGCCGATGGTAATATAGAACGTTTGTCACAGCTACGACGTGTTATTTGTGAGCAAAGACAATTATTTTTACAATACGGCAGTGAGAATGGAAGTGGGGTGGCTGGTGGCAGCAAGCAAAGCGTGATTAATTCAGTTTGTGGAGTTGTGTCGCAGCAGTCGACAGTGGAGGTGCATGATCCCATCCAAGCTAAGAACAAGGGCAGTGGCAAGCGGTTGAAGAGTGCAAGGGAGAAAGCTGCGCGTAAGTGTGTAAAACAATCAAGGAAATGTCACACTTGTGATGAATACGGGCACAATAGCAGGACATGCTCTTTAAATGGTTAGATAGGTTTCTGTTTTTTTGTTTCTTTTCTTGCTCTCTGTTGGACCTAGATGTTTTTACAGTCGTGCACACAATTTATCTCATTACATAGAATCAGGATTTTTACAATATAATTGAAACTGTGCATTTTATTACAGCATATGGTGCGTTTAGCACAAGTTATAGTGTTTTCTATAGTGTATACTGGTGCATTTCTATAGTGTGTTTTACTTTGTCATCTGGTGCATTATTGTATTTAGAATGATGTGGTCTTTTTTATATATGTTGTTGGTGCATTTGAATTCTTGAAATAGTGTCTTTTGAGGTTATCGCGTAGTGATGTGATGTAATCTAAATAAATGGCATGTATTTTAACACTTTGCGGCTTGTTGTGGTGCATATCAGTTCTTATAATGGTGTTTTTAAGTGGAGTATTTTTAAACTATAGTTCAATCACGTATATAGTGCATTGTAGGGCTCCAAATTGTGTGTTATAGTTGATCAAAGTACATAGTGAGTTCACATTGTCTGGGTGCCATCACAAAAGAGTAATTAGTCTAAAAGTAACCACAAAAATATAGACATCAACCATCCAAAAGTCTATATGCCCCCTGAAATTCTTTTTCAAATACCAAACTCTGCTGCCTGTTGGATGTTCCTTTCTTTGTGCTCGTTTACATCTGACATGATCATGGCAGCCAAGTACCGCACTCTTAGTTTGTTCAATTGGTCCTTGTTGTTCTTATGCAATCCACATTGCCATTCTGCTTGTGTCTGTCCTCGAAAAGTCTCCAAGTGGCGCATGAGAAAAATGCCACAATCCATCTTGTTCTGGGCATCTCTCCAAGGCATTTTCATTATTTTAGATTTCAGTTTCTGAACTTTCTCAGCTTTGTACGTGGTTTTCATATCAAACAAGAATTTTGAAAAGAATTTTTGCTGCATCAAGTAATTGCATACAAATATTAGTATTCCGTTGTCTTTGTATATCAAAAATACATAATCATTTAGGGTTTCGTGTGTTACCAGATTCGCAATCACATATCCATACTTGTTTTCCTTCTTCACAGTCACTGATGAGTTGTCAATGATGTCGTACCTTTCCATCAGCGGGCTAATAGACATCAGGTAGTAGTGGTTGGATGCCACTATTGGAAACAGAAACTGATATAGCAACAAAATACACCAACATGAGGCACAATATACACTAAAGTATGTATAGTAATACACTACACACAAGTAACTACTAGAATGCACCAACCAATGTTTAAAGACAAAACTCAAGTAGTAAGCAAAATATAAAGCAGTGAATATAATATATTACTATCTTACATATAGAATTTTGTGCCACATAACGTCTGCCGCTATGGTCTTGTCCTCAAGGTACTTTGCTTTGAATCTTCCAAACCTCACATCCTCATCTCCTTGTGGGTCCACAACTGTGTATAGCTGCAAAAGTTCAATGGTATTTTTGTTAGAAGTTTAAGCTTTTTAAAGATGAAGTTAGTTTTGCATTTTTGTTCACTTACAGTTGACCATGTTGAAGCAATGAATTTTGTACAACCCCTCTCTGATTCACGAATGTTGAGTATGACTGACCAAGCATCAATTATAGAGACTGCAATATTTGTATCTGGCTTCATTGTCAGCATATCTTTCCAGTAGATTACTCTTCCGTCATACTTGAATAGTTCTTGTGTCCTTGTAATACATATACAGAAGATAATATAAATAAAATGCAAGAATAATGTATATTATAAGTACCAAAGCTAGTAATATTCCACAATAATCAATAAATACACCAAAGAGATATTAGTTACACACCACAATCAGTTAACAAATCATTTGATGTGAACAACCAAACACATACCAAATATGCACTATTAACATATGCATAACACACCACCACTTTTATACTAATAGGGCCCCCATCACCCAATGTGTGGAAGCACACATTATATAACATAAACACACCAACTCTTATCAAATAATGCATCAATTAATATAAGATATTTATACACCAACATTATTATAGAATGCACCAACATATATCAATAACACACCAACTTTTAGAATGTGTTGTGCTTACAGATCTGGGTTAGGGTTGTCCAATACCCATTTCCTGATTGCTTCTTCTGTTGGAGATATTGGTTGGTCCAGATCAAGTACGTATGAGGATGGTCTTGGTCTAATTGGGCTGTTTACTCTAGCTGGTCCTTTGCCCTTGTCTGCTGGTTGTGGTGGGTGTGGTGGATCTGAACCAGGGGCCTCCTGGCCTTGTCCTACTGGTGTGATCTGTAAGATATTTATACACCAACATTATTATAGAATGCACCAACATATATCAATAACACACCAACTTTTAGAATGATCTTACCTCATCATTTATGTTCACTTGTTCAGCTTCTTGCACACATTCTTGATTGGCGGCCTTGGTTATGTTCTCGGTGTCTTCTTGAGCTTTCTCTGTTGTTTGACCATCTAGCCCATCCAATTGGACGTCTTCATTTTCTGGAGCTTCATCATTGTCCTGGTAGTCTTGTGCATTAGCATTCATAGTTGGCGTGTCTCTACTTGTTCCCTCTTGTGACAATCCCAAGCTGAAAGTTGGCATATGATTTAGAAATGTCCTCTTGTTTACTGCACGGACGATTTCATCAACCGCTTTCAAGAACTCTGGGTCACTCCAATAGGCATCCTCTTGCTGGGTAAATGTCAGTTGTCCATCTTCTTGCGCTTTAAATCCAAGCATCTGTCTAGCAGACTCAAACATCTGCTTGAAGGTGTCATGCTCCAATACCGTTGCAGGTGCATTTTCAATCAGTCTTGAAATCCTCAGTAAACTCTTTGCAATCGTCCTTGTGTTGGTAGTAACCTCATCAATAAACTCCTGTATATGCACCAGTAAGTTATGATCAGTCAACAATAAGTAAAGCACCAGAAAAAAAAAAAACTCATGTAGTATAAACACACCAATATATACAGAAGTATGCACAAACAAAATACCCCATGAGTCTGTTCAAAGTGTTATGTATACCTGTAATCCATGGGGAAGTGGTGCATTTTCTTCACATGATGGTGGTTGTGGTGGTACATCAGACTGTCCTATGCTGGGGTTCCGGTCACTGCATGGTGTGCTCTGAACTGGCAAGGCAACATCAACCCGCCCATACCCAAAGCCTCCAGATTTGATCTCAGTTTGCTGTCGTTGACGGAGCAACTTAAATGTCCAATTCGCCATTGCAGGGAAGCTCCGTGGGATAGTCCTCCGGTATAGAACAACACGGTCAACATAGAATACCTGCACTTGGTAGTTTAGAGTATTAATATAATGATGAGTAAATAATTACAAGTATGGTTGGGGGCCTATTTACCGTTAGGAAAACAATTGGGCCTCCATATCTCCCATCAGCGCTGTCAAGCCATGCCTGCTTGCTGGCAATGAGTGAGTTGATGAGCATTCTGCACCAATTAAGTCTCTTAATGTTGTGTACATTAAGAAGGTTGTCGATGTAGTTTTGGTTGACATAACCATTAACTTGTGGTTCAACCAACACACTCATGACAAGCAGTGCAAAATGCCTCTTGAACCAAGGGTCAGCAGCTTTTAATGTTAGCATCTTTTCAGCCATGGTATGGGGGGTGATGTGGCCAGTAACCTTCCCAAAGATTTTTCTCCATTCTGCTAGGAGATCAGATACCTGTTTGGATTCCCTCTTAGTGATTTCTATGTCTCCAAGTGGCAGTCCCAAGGTGGTAGCAATATCATTTTCTGTGATTGGGAGCCTTTCACCAGATGGTAGATTCAGTGTGTTGCTCCTAGAGTCATAGCTTTCAACTAGCCACATCCCCATCTTCCTTGGCAGGTTGGTGATGTTGAGATCAAGTATCCTTCCTAGCCCAATTTCTTCTACACTTCTGCGTTGGGATCTGGTCAGTGATTCAATTGGTCTCATTAGCTGTGTGGGCAGTGGCCGTATCTTTAGCTCTGTTTCTTCATCTTGAACCTCATTATCAGAGTTGTCACCAGTAACTTGCTCTTGTATTTCTGTTTCCATTCTATCACAGAATGCCAATGCTAGTTGTTTCCGTTGTTGTTTTGGCTTTGATGATTCTCCTTGTTCTAATGTCTTTCTCTTTTTGTCTGCATGAATTCAGTGATATTAATCTAAACATATATGATACAGCCTCAGTGTTAAAAGATACCGTAATGTAGGGTAAAAATGCACTCATATCCCAAATTAAAACACACAAACAATGTTATTTTCCATTTTTTCAAATTACATAGTGCAGAATACACCAATACTAAATTAAATACACACCACAATCATGCTGCTAATGCCCAAAAAAAAAACAACACAATATGAGATGTCATATTCTGAAATATACTACAAAACACACAAATATTAGATTAAGATACACCGATCAGCCAAATAAAACACACAACATTGATCTTTTCTGTATTCAAGTTACATATTCCAGAATACACCAATACTAACTGAAATATACACTATATTCACGGTGATAATCCCCAGACAACATAATATTAGATTATGATACAACGATAACCCAAATAAATCACACAACAGTGTTATTTTCCCTATTCAAGTTACATAGTCCAGAATACACCAATACTAACCGAAATATACACTACATTCAAGTTGATAATCCCCAGACAACACACTATTAGATGTAGTAGTCAGGATGGAACCAAAAACACACTAATATTATGTGAAGACACACCGATCATCCAAGTAAAACACACAACAACGTTGATTGCTCTACTCATTTTACATAATACAAAATACACCAATAATAAAGTAAATATCAAATATTGTCATGTTGAAGTTGGTTTTTGTGTCTAGAGTTTGAGTGCATACCATCCGGCGCTGTCTGTTTGCTCTTCGTCACTAGTTGTTTGCCCTTGTTCACCATTTTTTTAGGTTGTCGTGGTCGAAACTGGTCTGCGGTGTAGGGTTTCTGCTTCCTATCGCAAACGTAGTGGTGTGTTTTGACAGTAGCTCCCTGTTTTTGTGCTGAGGCGATCGTCGATCGTCGATCGTCGTCTTCGCGAAGGCTTCGTCGTCGTTGGGAGGAGTGAAACTGCTCTCGTGCGTTGGGATTGTGAATAAGCGAATGGACCGGTGTAGCTTGTAGAAGGAGGAAAAGTCTCAGTTTTGAATTAGAATTATTGACTACTTTGCCCCCTCCGTCGCGGTTATGCTGATGTCAAGCGCGCAAATGATGAAATGGTATGGTCCGTTGATCTGCTTTAATCCAATGGCTCTTAGATGACTGCACTGCCGTACCTAATGTCATAGCCGCATGGGATCTCGGCTCTATATATATATATATATAAAAGTATGATTGATATATTATCAAACCAAATAGGTTGGTAAGTAAGAATGGCATACATTGTTAGACTAAATAGGTTGAATATATTATAAGTTTGTAAATAAAAACTGAGTAGAGTGCTAACCTTCAAAACTTGAATTCTTAGATTGTTATTGTTGGGGTTGTTACAAAATGAGCCCTTGAGGGGTATTTATACCATTCTACCCCTCAATAGACGATAAAGATCTACTTTGATTCTATTACTATAATTCTATATCTAGAACCCTTCTTAAAATTCTATACAATCTTATGGGTTCTAAAATGTTGTAGAAGATTATATGATTCTCTACAACACTAGTGTTATGTACAAGGTTCTAAAAAATTCTACAAACTTTGGGAAACTATGTACTAAACTACTAGTGTAGAAAATTCTTGGAAAGATATAGTTAACCTCGAAGATGCATATACATGATAATGTCCTCATATAGTCATATGGTATCTCCTGTTTGTTCAGTTTTGAATTGGCAGTCCAGAAATCACAGATTCAGAACATGTTATCTTAAGGGTGAAACAAAGAAATGCATTCTGAGTTTTAAAAAACTTGTGATTTATTGTAATGGATGGGAGGACAAGTTACTGTATTAAACTCTAAACTGTAAACAATAAGATCAAATATGTTTCTAAGTATGATGAATACATTATCAAACCAAATAGGTTTGTAAGTAAGAAATGACATACATTGTTATACTAAATAGGCCGAATACATTATAAGTTTGGAAGTAAAAACTATAGCATTATCCGAAACTTGGATTCTTAGACTGTTATTGTTGAGATTGTTATAAAATGAGCCCTTGAGGGGTATTTATACCATTCTACCCCTCCCCTCAATAGACGGTAAAGATCTACATTGATCCTACAGCTATAATTCTATATCTAGAATCCTTCCTAAAATTCTATGTACTAAACTACTAGTGTAGGCAGTGGCGGAGCCACAATGGGGGCAGTGGGGGCTGCTGCCCCCACTGACCCACCCAATATATAGTATATATACCAAACATTAACTAAAGATTGCTTTGGTTTAGATGGCAAAACCATTGGTGTAACATAATAATGGTCCAAGGTTCAAAACCTGTAGTGGTGAATTTGGTTTTTCAATTTTTAAATAGCAATAGTTGGAATACTAATTTGATATATTTTTTTTTCCTTTCATTTTTTAATATTATTAGTGAGATGAGTGAACTTTTATTTTTGGCATTTTTTAATATTAATAATGATAATTCTAATTGGATTTTTTTTATTTGTAACATTGTGATTTCTTCTCTTTTTTTTCTTTTTTTTTTAATATTAATAGTTTTCATTTTTTAATATTATTAGTGAGATGAGTGAACTTTTATTTTTGGCATTTTTTAATATTAATAATGATAATTCTAATTGGATTTTTTTTATTTGTAACATTGTGATTTCTTCTCCTTTTTTTTCTTTTTTTTTTTTTAATATTAATAGTTATAGCAGTGATTTATAATGTGTTTTTCATTGAAACTATTTTATCTAATTAATTATGTTGTATATTTTATTTTAAATTTTTTTTATCTTTGTATTTTGAATTTTCATCTCTAGTCAACAATATTTATGACTTGGTTTCTAAGTGTTTCATTTTTTAAAAATATCGCGCTCGTTAGTTTTAATATTTTGCCCCCACTGAAGAATATTTCTGGATCCGCCACTAAGTGTAGGAAATTCTTAGAAAGATATAGTTAACCTTGAAGATGCATAGCAAAGTGGCTCAGATGCTACATTATCAAACCAAATAGTTTTGTAAGTAAGAATGACATACATCGTTAGACTAAATAGGCTGAATACACCAAACAACACCTGAGGTTCGTCTCTCATATCTGGATGGGCAGATGCAGGACTGCTCAGGTACATCCCAATCAACAATGTAGGTCAGAGGGAAAAAGACTGAAATAGGACAAATAGGCTTCCCGTTTCCCAAAATATGACGCTTATTTTTTGTGGACAATTTTATGAAAACATCGTTTGGGACATGCGTTTTAGGCATGTCCCAGTTATTTTATTTTTTTTTAACCGTTTCCAAAGACGCAAATGGCATTTGCGTCTGAGGTATTGTATACGTCAAATTACGTAAATGCGTTTGAGGTAGATTATTAGTATAGTGTAAAATGCATGTAGGAGATGCGTTTGCTTTTTAGTCGCCGGAGACTGACAATGGGTACCCGCCTGTGGGAATTGTGTTGTAATTGAATCGCATGAGACACATGCATTTTAGACGTAATATTGCTCTGTTTCTTGATCCACCTCTGAGATTTTGTTTCATAAACAATTTCGAGTTCCCTCGCTTTATTTCTTGATTCTGTTAAGAGGCTCATGACTTCCTTCAGTTTCTCCTCCAGATCTTGCTGAGATCCTCTAGCCTCTTTTTCCATTTGTGAGCAGCGTTGTTCATATGTTTTCCGAGCTGTTTCAAGTTCTTCCTTCAAAGCTTGAATCTCTTGTTGAGAACCACTAGCCTCGTTTTCCATTTGTGAGTTGCATTTTTCATAAGTTTTCCGTGCTGTTTCAAGTTCTTGCTTCAAAGCTTCAATCTCCTGTTGATATCCTCTAGCCTTATTTTCCATTTGTGAGGCAGCGTTCATGAGTTTTCCGAGCTGTTTCAAGTTCTTCCTTCAAAGCTTGAATCTCTTGTTGAGACTCTGTCACTTCTTTTTCCACCTGTGAGCAGCGTTCTTCATAAGTTCTACGAGCTGTTTCAAGTTGTTGTTTCAATTCTTTCAAAGCTGCAATCTCTTGTTGAGACATTGTAGCTTCTTTTTCCATTTCTGAGCAGCGTTGTTCACAAGTCTTACGAGCTGTTTCAAGTTGTTGCTTCAAAGCTGCAATCTCTTGTTGAGATCCACCGCCAATACTATTTTCCCCTGGTGTGGAGCATTGTTCAGAAGTTTTCCGGGTCGTTCCAAGTTCTTGCTTCAACAACGCTGCAATCTCTTGAACAGTTTCGTCATTTTCCTTCTTCAATCTAGCCACATCATGTTCCTCGCTTTTCTTTTTCACCTCCATCTTCGACTTCACTCTGTAATGTCAATCAAGAAAACCCGAACTGCTGCTATTACTTATCAAAAATAAAGATCAATCAACATGTTCTGCAATTTCAATCATATCGATCAAAGTTTGTCATCGAGGATGGTTTCAGTAAACACGAATCACAATCGAAAAGTCCATAATACTCCAAACGCATCTCTTACATGCGTTTTACCGTATACTAATAATCTACCTCAAATGCATTTACGTAATGCGTTTGACCGTATACAATACCTCAGACGCAAATGTCATTTGCGTCTTTGAAAATGGTTTTAAAAAAAATAAAACAACTGGGACATGCCTAAAACGCATGTCCCAAACAATGTTTTCATAAAATTGTCCACAAAAAATAAGCGTCATATTTTGGGAAATGGGAAGTCAATTTTTCCTATTTCAGTCTTTTTTCCGTATGTCAGATGCCATGATTGTAACTTGAGCAGACAATGAAGCAGCCATTGCTGGGGTTCACACAAGTTCGGGAGTCTCTGTTGTTTGATCAAGCACAGCTTCACCAGGTCCATCCCTGATGACAGATACCAGGCCATCAGGCAGAAACCTAGCCAGCGAGCCACTCTAGGACCATGGATTGGCTGCCCAACAAGCTTCCCCAGTAATGAGGCAGCTACCACTCTTTGCTGTAGAGGAACTTCTTCTGCAGAACATCATTTGACATTGTAAATACAGTGGGATTTTCAACATGGATGAGAAGCCAAAAACAACAACCTACTTTGCAAAGGAAGGAGTAGTTCTAGAATGTAGACCACTCCACCATGCAAGCTCTGGCGTGCTTCCTACACTACTGAAAATTATGAAATTTCCGACCACCTGAAAGTGATCTTAAATCAAGTCGAAAGTCTTGTTCCGACCACTTTTGTATCCGGAAAAACCTTTGTTGCTATTTCCGACTATTTTTTGGTATCAACTTGATTTAAAATCACTTTCAGGTGGTCGAAAATTTTGTAATTTCCAGTAGTGCTAAGGCATAAAGAACATGGAGAGCTCCTTAGCTTCACGGCAATTTGGTGAAGAGTGTAGCATTTGCAATAAAAGGAGAAGACTAGATTCATCAGCAACAATTGCCTTCAAGTAGGGAGCATGTGTCGTCAATTCAAGCGTTAAAGCACACTTAAACAAAGTTGAGGAATATGTTGGGTAATACGGTTGAAAAGCCCCAAAAATAATAATTCTACAGAAAGATTTTTATTATATAGGAAAACAGAAAAATTCTGGGAAGGAAAATGTGGAGAAAACTGGGTAAGGGTTAGCACGAGTTTGAACACTAAGTTCTTTTCCTTAAAACCTTATTTGTTACCTCCCACAAGTGCTAGGAGCGTTGTAGCCTAGGTTTCCCAAGATAAAACGTGCTGCGATTCTTTGTTTAAGCACCTAAACAAAGAACCCGGCAAAAAAAACAAAGTAAGAACACAGTTTGCTAAAGAAGAGAGTAGAAGCAGAAGTTTTAAAGCAAAAATTGTATCGGAATTCCTTTGGTTTCGTTCTGTGTAAAATGCTTATGTCCTACCTGTCTTTATATAGGGCTATTGGAAGGGGTAGCATTCAACATGACCATTGAATTGATATTAAAACCAATTGTGTAACACCTGTAATCAGTATTGCAAAAATCGCGCCTAGGCGCCGATTAATCGGCGCTAGGCGGTGGGAGGCCGCCGCGAGGAATGGCCTCGGCGACCTCCTCCGCGGCCGGCCGCCTAGACCGCCTAACCGGCCGGTTCGGCGGTTCTGCTAGTTTTTTTTTTTTTTTTTTAATTTCGAAAAAGTTTCGGAAGGCATAACTTTTGACTCGGTTGTCCGATTTGGACAATTTTTTTTTTCAAATCGCGTATTTTTTCGAGATATATACATCGCAAACAGCCAAATGCAGTTTCGTCCACAAATTTCTCAAAAAAATACTTCTTTAGCTCTTAATTTTAGTTTTTTATGTATTTAGATGGTTTAGACCATCTTTTGAACAATTTTACAACCACTTTTCTAAATAGTTTGTAAGAAATAACTATGAAAACCTTATGTTTTAGTACTAAATTTTGAAAATTTTTAATTAAATTTTTTTTAATTAAAAAAAATAAAAAATCGGCGCCTAGGGGGTGCCTAACGTTTTTTGCAACATTGCCTGTAACAGCCACCCACTAAGTAGGATTAAACTCATATTTAAAAATTGGACCTCTCGTATTCACCGTTGCACGAGAGTTGTGCTCTCGGTGCACCACAACCTCTCTTGCTCTATCAGTAGGACCAGCAACACGAGAGTGCACCTCTCGTATTCACCGTTGCACGTGCCGGCTGGCGCACACGAGCTTGAATCAAGCATTTTCGATCTCTTCTAGTTGGAATTTGATTTGCACCATTCCCCCGCGCGAGAGAGCCTCTATGCTATACAATTCTACAAGCTTCAAAAGAGTTCTTGTATATAAGGGGGGGTCAAATCTTCTTTCCAAACCAATGTGGGACAAACTCACATTTTCCCTTCATTTTCCAATTGAGTTAATACCATCTAAGGTCCTCCGACTATAGTGGTTTTGCCACGTTTAGTCCTAAACTTTCAAATTGACCACCCGTGGTCCTTCGACTTTCAAATTTAACCATTCGTGGTCCAAGTTAACCACTCATGGTCCTTCAACTATTAAATTTTAACCAACCATGGTCTTTTCAAGAGGACCACGACTGGTTAAATTTTGAAACTTGAAGGACCATGGATGGTTAACTTGGACCACGAATGGTTAAATTTGAAAGTAAAAGGACCACAAATGGTCAATTTGAAAGTTTAGGACTAAACGTGTCAAAACACTATACTCAAAGGACCTCAAATCGTATTAACTCTTTTCCAATTCGAATGGGTCTACTTTGAGAATCAATATCTCATTCAACCATTCCGTTTTGAGCGTACAATATATCAATCTCTTCGTTTCACTACGAAGAACCCGAATCCACTTTGACCCGACCCATATCGGAAGTGGACCCACTGATAATTGTACCACAAAATAGCCACTTAATATGTTATTTTAAGCTATATTTTCCAACAGAATATTGGTTGTCGAAGCAATAGGAACAGAGAAGCGCTCAAAAAGTGGTAATAACTTTTCTTTTGCAGCAAAAACTGATGCCAAATCCGGTTTTCCAGTCAACAGATGCTGGGAAAAGGAAATAAAAATATTGGTTAGTGTAAAGCATGAGAAAGTGCCAACCTACAATTGCTCATAGGCTTTGTGCACAGCCAGAAACTTTTCCCTCCCTTGAGGATTTTTATCTGGACGATACTTCATTGCAAGTTTTCTGTATTGGCACTTCACACTTGAGCTTCTCTTCATCAATATAATGTTGTCAATCTGTTTTGAGATATTAGGAATCTCATGTAATGTCTGTCTCAAAGGATTGCTCCCTCATCTAAGGATCGGAAATCTCCAATATTTTACAAGCTAAGCCTCTTCTTCAGAAAGATCCATGGGCCTACGTGTTAACTCTTCACACCACATGACAGCAACGACTGCAGAAATTCAACATGCTCAACAATAGGCCAATTAGGAAATCGAATCTCATCACATAAATTCCAAAGATAATAGCGATATGATGGCACCACATTTCATCTTTCAGTTCTGGGTATGTCACTGGTGGCATTGGAGCATATTCATATAGAGCATGAGAATGTTGGGATAGTTTCTGGGGAAAATCACCAAGGTGCTAAAGTGACTGCAAATTTAGCTTAGCATCATAAAGTAAAATGAGTGTTTGTCACAAAAGCAAGCATTTTCGCATCTTCTCCAATAGAGAGTATTTGAACCTACCTGACGGGTCAACAGATTGGGCATCATAGTGTGTGTGGCAGCAATGGATGATAGATATTGATCTAGTAGTCCTTCCAAAAATCTCTTTGGATCCTTTAGGAATAACCTAACATAGATTCCTCCAGCCTGCAGTGCAAAGAGATTTTAGTCAAAAATAGGAAGAAAAAAAAACATTATATTGCTCAACAATTCACAATAAGTTCGGCCTACACCAAACAACACCTGAGGTTCGTCTCTCATATTCTGATGGCCAGATGCCTGCTCAGGTACATCCCAATCAACAACACGAACCTGACCTACCAGTTACAAAATACAGAACAGCAATATATAATAATGCATCTCATACTGCCAAGTGATATGTGATAATATAGTAAATCACCAAAAAATAGTGATACAATTCCAGAGTTCACTAACTCTTAAGTATCTTCAAGCTCATACCAGACGATATAAACGATAATATAAATTGAAGTACGGGAGAATATATATAGTTAGAAAATAAAGAACAGCAATATATATAACTAACATATATATCCATGATGATATATAGAATGAGTGGTGTAACTAAAACCTAAACTAGGCATGACTGAGAAGCATATAAGTGGTTTTAAAGGTCTTTTCAGTGCCAGTCACTGTAATAGAGGCAGCTTCAATTCTCAGGAAGAAAACAAAATGTGTGGGTAATGTGAAACAAAATGTGTGGGTGATATCAAGAAACTCCAGGATGAGGTCCGAGCTATCCTGACATCCATCGAAAAGCTGGAACTCCTTCCTGCAGTTGTGGACTCTTTAACTGAAACCGTAGCCAATCTCTCTCCAGATGGTGCACTCTTTCTTCACATCGCAGGCCACCACTTCCACAGCTATGACAGCCTCTCATGGCAATCAAGCCACTCCGGAGATCGCACTACCAACTGCTCCCATTCCTGCTACACGATTCACCATACTGCAGTTTCTCATTTTGACGGCAAAGGGAAGCAGTTGACTTATATGCCGGTTGACGTTACTGAAGATTATAAGTAGTAGGTAGTAGATATTGCAATGAGATGAAGATGAGCAGTGAGGTGAGGGGGAGATCCTCCTATTTATACTAACTAAGTCGGTCTACGCATTTAATGCACCGGGTGCAAGTGGCTTGATGTGGCGTCTTTTCATTGTCTTGTTCAAACGGTCACTTTGCATCTACTCGTAGGTTGACTGACCGAGGTGACAGAGCCGCCCTATCTGCAAGCTATCAATCGCCGTTCTGGAAGTGAAAGTTGACCCCTATAACTGGTCATGTAAGTTATTTTTTCGGCTTTGTAGGTTGCGTCATATTGTAGGCCGACCGGTCAACCTATGGTAGACCGGCCGGGTGGCTTTCCGTCGTCCGGGTTATTCTTCTTTTTGTCACGAGACCTATCAGTGCGAGTGGTACGGTTGATCACAAGTGGTTTAGTCCCGTCGGGTTGATTGCTATAACGGACCAGTTGGTGACTTCTTGACGGACTGGCTATACGGATCAATTCAACATGCGTATTTACCAATCAGACCATTTTCCCTTACTCTTATTAATTTGTAGGAGCATATAGGTCTTTATACTCGTTATTTCTTACAATTTCAAATCTAACCAAACAATAGAATCAATATTCCCAATAAATTTTTTTCCATCAATCAAAGAATGAAATTCATCTTCATAGTAATTTTTTTTCCATGGAATTATAATTCTATTTCCCTTAAAATATTTTCCGGGAACTAAAAGGACCTAAGTCATCTAATTTTGAAGAATTCTAATTGACTAATTGGGTAGACATTAATATATCTCTTTGTTAATATATTTGAAGGAATTGAACCAATCATTATTGTGTGGACCATATTTTGTATACTGTAAAATAATGTACATTCAATATAAAAATAATGTACATTCAGTATAAAAATACATTGTATTCAGGGGAGATATATTATTTTTGTACTGAGTGTACATTATATTCTATGATGTACATTTAATATATTAAAATGT